TCATCTAAGATTGGTCAAATCATAAACAAAACTAGAAATTAAGAACAAATTATTTCCATACCATGAAAGATTGAACATTGAAAGAAAATAGTAGTTAACATTAAGAATTAATTGGTTCCATCTAAGCTTAAATACAAGAAAATATAGTCTGACATAGTCAAGAAAACTAAGACAACAAATGAAAAACTAGAGAAAATCATAAATAGAACTTGATAATTGTTCTCCAAGGTGAAGCTTTGAGCCTTCCTTTGACTCGTCAAAGCCTTCCTCTTCTTAGGTCGTATAAAACTGAATACAATTACCCTACTTTGTTCCTTTTTAATGAAAAAGACCCATGGGCTTTTATTTACGAGATACTTGCTGCTTTTGCTCGCTGCCTCAACGTGTTTCAACTAAAAAATATGTGCTTATGGTGTTCTACTTGCTAGGTTGCTCCCTGGGGCGAGCAACTCAACAAGCTGCATCATGAAACTACACGTAATTTTGTCACTACTCAACATAACTTGGCTTGAGTTTTGTCTTCTTCCGGCTTCCTTAATCCATCAATGCTCTATCATAGCAATTTTAACCTAAAACAAACACATTTTTTTAGTCATAATCATATCAAGCATGAAAACTCCAAAGCCTCTTGCATTTAGTAATGTGTACCATGTCTTTAACCATATTAAACAATATTTAGCATACTTTTGTCCCTAATAAAAACATGATATATTTGACACTTAACAAATCATTCCCAGTTTTAATTATTGCAATCCCAGCAACAGACTAATTTAAGAACATCGGAAATGCAAAAGTATGGATCCTGTGCTCAATGAATCATCAATAAGAGAACGAAATAGTGACTCAATCCATTAGTGATCTGACTTAACAAAAAAAACTCTAAGAACAAGCATCCAATCAAGTGGTTTCCAAAATCAAGCAAGTCATAAAACCAAAACAAGAGATTTATCAACGAAGCATAGAGAACTTGTTGAACCATAGATCACCAAGACTATATATTTGAAGTTTTGATGATAACAAAGCATCAACATGCTCAACATGGATGCTTATAGAACGAAGTGCAACAAGTTTCAAATGACACTAGAAAACCAAGACAAAGTGCTAAAATGAAAGGACTACTCAATTTGGAAAAGTCAAGCTCAAAGTCAAACAATTTTAGAGAAGAAAAGCACAACAAGGCTCACTACTTGAAGACCAATGAAGATATCTGAAGACTTAAGCTAAAACTATTGTGAAAAGTATTTTTAAGTCTTAAAAACTTATAGAATGAGTTTATTGAGCTACATCAAGAGAATTGCACTAATAAGTTATAAATTCATACATACATGACTTGATTCATACATACATGACTCATACACATGGAACACTGTTAGAATGATAATTAGAAGCATCCATACATGTGTTAGAAGTCATTAGGAATCATTTAGAAGTCATTAGAAATCATTTAAGAGTGATTAAAATTGAGAATCAGCAAGGAAAATATGCATTTTTGCTGAAGTAATCGATTACTAGCATAAATTAATCGATTACCTGGGTTCCTTGAAGAAGTAATCAGATACATGACGAACACAAGGAGCCCATGTAGTATGATCTTTTCATGAGAAAACTGTGTCTCATAGGCATCAAGCCCCAAGGAGTTCCTTAAGGGCTCACTCCAAGGAAAGTCAATACATGCAATATACTTTCAAGAGAAACTTGTGTCTCTTAGATATCTGATATCAAGGAGTTCCTCAAGGGCTCGCTCCAGGAAAAGTAACTGTATACATACATAAATCTATTGGCCATAGATACATCTCAAACATACATCATAACATTATGCATCTTTCATAATTCATCATAAATCTCATAATGCATCATACTATGTTCTAATACTACAATGCACATTCATCACTCAACCATTACTCCAACGGAGCATGGAGGAACAAATAAAGGGATTAACCCTAAGCTCTAGAAGTTTACCCTTTTTTAGACTTCTGTTCCACGCTTTTCTCTACTTCTAAAGACGTACATGTGTTAGAAGATCGTTCCCACAGATATTTGTATTCAAACACCAATTAAACATAGAAAACTAATTTGAATCAAACAAGAGTTTGTAAAAATCATGAGTGTTTTGTCGCCAGAAAATTGATTTGAAGTAACAAAATATAATGCTAAAATATGAATTAAGATTTACTAAAACAAGTAGTCAGAAAACAACTTTCCTCAACAATAAACACATGTAAAAACTGACCATATGATGAATTCTTTTTCATGTGATATTAATCAACCTTTTATTTATTATCAAGATGTATTCCCTTACTACCCTGATAGATACATTAATCAGAAACCCCAATCCCTTGGTGATTCCTTTATTAATACATACATTAAACACTAAGGTCTTAAGATTACATCAGAACTCTAGCATCAATCCCTTGAGTACTAGAATCCTGATGATGAGATTGCCAGATATAGGAGTAGTGTAAACATTCCTGTTCTACACTACTCCCTTAATAGAAAGAATTAAATAAGAAAATCTCATATCAACACATGAAAAATACTTCATCATATTAATCAAACATACATAAGGTTATCATTAAGTTCCATTGAATTCAGACCACAATGACTCTACTCAGACATAACTAAAGAATACACAAGAGAAGAAAGATCAAACTCCATTGCCATGCAGTGAATCTTCAATCTCCAAGTACAATTACATAAGAAACTAACTAATACAAGAACTAAGTCCTAAGAATTTTAGAGAGAAATCAGATCAAAGAATCTGATGTAAGAGAGAGAGAGAGAAAATCCAGATTTTTGAAAAAGTGAAGGCCCTTGCCTTATATAGTTTTACAAATTCAAACAAAAAAACTAACATGGGCGCTAAAATGTTCATGAGTGAGCGTTTTAGCGTCCATGCTTGACGGATGCCCAACTGCTTCAAACTGACTCCAGCGCTAAAACACTTGGTTTGGACGTTTTAGCGTTTGAGACCAGAGTCTTTTTCTAATAGCAGGGCGCTAAAACGCTTGATCAGGAAGTTTTAGCGCCCAAGACCAGCAACTTTTTGTTCTCGGATTGCAGCAGCACGCTAAAACGTTCTGTGTGGACATTTTAGCGCTCAGCACCAGCAAGTTTTGGCTTCTTTCTGCAGCAGGGCGCTAAAACGTTCTAGATAAATGTTTTAGCGCTCAACACTTAGAATTTTTCTCTTCTTCAGAATCTTCTTCCTTCTCCCAGTTGCCTTTTAATCTTGCTTTTCCTACAAGAATAATACAAATTTTCAATAAAGCTTCTTGAACTTGTAGTTGAGGACATTCTAGGACATTAACCTCTTTTTCCATCATTTAATCACACAAATTGATACTAATTCATGCTGAAAAACCTGATGAACTAAGGGTTTATCACAATTCCCAGATTTGAATATTGCTGTCCTCAGCAATAACTTTAAAAAAATAGAGAAGGAGTTGAGATTCCTTACAAATGAAACTTATGAGGATAGATTTGAATTATAACAGATCAACATTCCATGATATAATCTTACAACCAAGCAATCTATCATTTCCCACGACTTGCCCAACCTCATCATATGACTTTCAACAGATCAGTAAAGATGAAATACAGATACTTTCAACACAAAACACCCCCTCACTAGGAACTTCTCAAAAATTGTGAGAATTAAACTCTCTTGCACTCTAGTGTCTAAGGATGTATTCATCACTCAATCTTCACTGTACTTAAACTACCATAAGCTTGCCCATCTTCTCACTTTCCACAGTGACACTAATCCATAAAGTAGATCAAAAGAGACTTTGGTGGTATGGCTTGGCTAGGAATAGGATTCTGTATAGGAGGAGGGAAATGTCTTGGCATGTGGTTTGGCTAAAGGTAGGATTTAATGTTGCAGAAGGGTTCAGATTTTTGAATCAGATTCAGATAAGAGGAGGATCACAATTGAATTTATCTATGTGCTCCTTAATCCTTCTCATTCTCTTCTTCCTTTTCATTCATTCTTTTCACCTCTTTTTCTACAACTTTTCTTTTTCTTAAACTTTCTTCCTTCTTTTCTTCCAAACACTTTGTGTTTTTAATTCCCCTTTTTCCTTATTTCCTTTTCTCAACCAAGCATTTTGTGCCTTTACTTTCTTTTTCCCTTTTTCTTCTTCTTTTCCTCCAAATTTCCAACACTTTGTGTTTTTATACATTGCAGAAACACCTTTCTCCATACAGAACTTTCATCCATTAACCCTTTATCTGAAACATGTAATCTGAAAACTGGGATAGATGCAGGCTCTTGATTTTATCAATAACTTAGGCTCAAGGTTTTCATGCAATGGGAACATTTGGTTCAAAAGAGAATGCCTCAATCAACTCTACCTTACAAATCATGAACCATTTCAAGCAAGAAACAGAGCAAGTTCTAGAGTTAATCATATAGTGAAGTGCTCTCTGAAAAAAAAAAAATTTGTATAGGCTCAATTCCTCACAGTTCAGAGTGCATGCTTGACTACCTCTATATACATCAAAACTCATCTCTCTACTCTTCACATAGAATAAGTCATGCAATCATATCATTTTAGAACACATGCAAAGATTCAAGATTGTATCCTAAAATTTGATCAATCATGTAAAACTTTGATCATCTTATCCTCATGGAATTTCACATCAACTCAAAATCCAATTTCTATTCATACAACAACTACCTAACTACCTAACTACATCATACAAGAAACTAAAAAGAAAGGATTTAGATGTTTCCCTGTTTGTGGCTCATCAAACTGTGTGACATCTCCATGATATTTGCATGTCATTCATTCACACTCCATTCCCAGATTTAAACATTGCTGTCCCCAGCAACTAATTTAAATCTAAAATAGCAGTTGAGCACTAAAACACATTCACATATCATTAAATAGCATCAGTACTATTTCAAAATGTGCATCTATCAAAACAGGGAATCTCAATGTACTTAACCAAAATAAAACCAGAAAAATAGAAAAATATGGAAAAACAACAAGAGAAATCTAATCAGTCGACTCCTCATCATCAGAAAATAGCAGATCAGATCCTGGGTCATCAGTAGGTAAGGGGTTGTACTCAGCATCAGCATCCCTGTCCTCATCCATGGAAGAAGTATCACCAGCAATCTGATCATCATCAGCAGTGGCATCAGCAGCAGTCTGAGCAGAAGCAGCAGCTGCAGTAGGCTGGGCAGGAGGAGCAGTATCAGCAGTCACACCCGCAGTGGCCAGAGTATCATAGCAGGTGCGGACATCTGCCTCAAATGCGTCCTCCTCCTCAAAATGTGGATAAATAGCAGGCTGGAATTCAGCTGTCTCTAAACCCTGGGCCTCACAGAGATCGGTCAGCATCTTGATCATATGAGTCTGAAATGAGTGCTGACTCGTCTGTATGAACTTGAGACGGCAGTGTAAATGACCCAATCGAATGTCATTGTTAACCAGCCACTGCTCCCCGGATCTAAGCCTTTGTTCAAGCTCAGAATCCTCCTTAGTTATGGGTTTCCTGCCAGGTGTCAATCCAGAGGGTCCTTCTCCTCCAATCTTCAACTGCTGTCTGATCAGCTTTGCATCAATTGGGGGGGTGCAATTTGGTTAGCACCCCATTATCAGTTACATCCACTCCAGCTTTCTGGCACAGAAGCTGGATCAGAGAATAGTGACCCAAAGCAGAAGTGTTGCTATCAGAATGGGCCATATCATATATACTGTCTTGAAGAAGAATGGGTAGCTCCACTTTCCCTTTAGTCATGATGGTATGGATCAAAACTGCTCTCATCAAAATTACCTCCGCCTGGTTGGAAGAGGGCATGACATTGGAAACCACAAAATTGAACCAGACTCGGGCCTCACCATTTAGATGCCTCAACCACAACAATTTATGATTGACCTTATCTTTGGTCGTCTCCTATGTTTCACTAGGCTTGGCTATGGTATGCAGAAAAGGCTCAGCTGCCCCCATCTTGGTCCAAGTTTCAAATTCTGGGTCCTGTCTCCTAGGTGGTATTTCAAATTGCTGCCAGTTCTTCTTGTAATCACAGCTGGCATGGTTAATATAATCACAGTGCCTGATCTTCAGAAGCTTCTATATGATGTGGGCATTATATTTCACTTTCTTGCCCCTCACCCAGCTGGTGAAAGTCCTCTTACCACCCTGATCACCATTATATGCATTAGCAAAGAATTCCCTTGCTATATTAGGGCTGTTGTCCACTAGGATATTACCAAAAGTAACCCAGTCCCTTTTTAGCAACTGGGACTGGAACTCAGGATATTCATCCTTCTCCAGGATGAACTTCCTCTCCCTCACGAATGGTCTGGAAGAGGTTTTGGCAGTGTAACGAGCCTCATGCTCAGCACTCCTCCAAAAATGTGCATCATAGGTAGGAGGTGGAGGTGTAGGTGCAGAAGCCCGAGGTTCCCTGGACCTCTTCGTTCCAGACTTCTTGGGGGGAGGTGTAGACATGATCCTAAAAATCAACATAAATAGTCAGTATGGCATTTAAATTAATGGATCTAATTCCCAGATTTAGAATGGAATTAGTGGTGGAATTGGATCCAAAACATTTAAGCAAACACCCCCACAATGCCCATTAGTAGACCCTTTTAAATATGCATGCAACAGGGCCTGGGCGCTAAAATGTTCACACTGAGCGTTTTAGCGTTCTGGCCTTAAACGTGTAAGAAATTGGCCAAGCGCTAAAACGTTGGGTGACCAGCGTTTTAGCGTCCTGGCTTTTCTGGGTCAGGCATTTTAGCAAACACCTTATGTGCGTGTGTGCAGCAGCAAGTGTTATGCTAATGGGGATTTCTTCCCAACCCAAAAATCAGAAAACACAGAATATCTTATATCATGATCACTCATTTTCGAGCATAAATTACATGAGTAGTGTAAGAAACGAAAAAGAATGAAACCCTAGATGAAATGGCAGCATGTGGATGCAACATGAAAACAAAAATGCAAGAACATGTATGGTTAGAGAAAGAAAACGTACCTTTGGTATCAAATGATAGTCTTCGGTGCAAACAATGGAACAATGGAAGATTGAATGTGAGAGAAAGTGAGTGAATAAGAGGAGAGAAAAGAATGTGAGAGAAAGGAGAGGGAAGGCCTGTGTTATTTTGAATTAGTGATGAGGCGCTAAAACGGTGAAACCAAGCGTTTTAGCGCCCAGGTCCAGAGAATGTGCACACTTCGTGTGTAGCACCACGCTAAAACGGTCATCAGGGACGTCTTAGCACGCTGGACCAGAGTGTGTGTAAATGAGTTATTGGGTGAACGCTAAAACAGTCAGTATGGACGTTTTAGCGCTCATGGCCAGAGAGTTTCATAGTGATGCAACTCCTAGACCGCTAAAACGTCCAGAACGGAGGTTTTAGCGCCCAGCACTTGTCAAAAATTTCTCTTAAGATTTTCAAAACTTTTCCCTCCTTCCTTCTTCACTTTACTAATGGGGTATGAACATTGAAATTACATACCTGGTACAGTGGGTTGCCTCCCACTCAGCGCGTGTTTAACGTCACGAGCCTGACGGGTATGATCTATTTTACCTCTAATAAGGCAACTGTCAGTAGTTGCCTATCCACAGCACTTCCAACATATAACTTCAACCTCTGACCATTTACTGTAAAACTTCTGTCTGAATCCAAAGAACTAATTTCCACGGCCCCATAAGGTTTCATGTCTTTCACCACAAAGGGTCCAGACCATCTAGACTTTAACTTCCCTGGAAATAGCTTCAACCTGGAATTGAACAAAAGAACTTGATCCCCCACCTTGAAATCCCTAGGTGTGATCTTCCTATCATGCCATAACTTTGTCTTCTCTTTATATAGGCTTGCACTTTCATATGCAGAGAGACGGAACTCATCCAATTCATCCAACTGTAGTAATCTTTTCTCTCCTGCTGCCTTTGAATCGAAGTTCAGAAACCTCACAGCCCACAATGCCCTGTGCTCCAACCCTACTGGCAAATGGCATGCTTTCCCAAACAACAGTTGAAATGGGGACATTCCAATAGGAGTCTTGAATGCTGTCCGGTACGCCCACAGAGTGTCATCAAGTTTCTTGGACCATTGAGTCCTAGCATTCCCAACAGTCTTCTCCAATATTCTTTTCAACTCTCTGTTGGAAATCTCAACCTGACCACAAGTCTGTGGGTGGTACGGAGTACTAATCTTGTGCCTCACTCCATACTTTGCAAGGGCATATTCCACCATCCTATTATCAAAATGAGTTCCCCCATCACTAATTATAGCTCTCGGGACTCCAAATCGCGAAAATATGTTCTTCCTCAGAAAAGCAATCACAACCCTAGAATCATTGGTTGGTGTGGCTATGGCCTCAACCCATTTTGAAACATAATCAACTGCCACCAATATGTACTTGTTAGAGTAGGAAGAAGGGAAAGGTCCCATAAAATCCATACCCCAAACATCAAATATCTCCACCTCCTGTATATTGTTCAAGGGCATTTCATGTCTCCTGGAGATATTACCAGTCCTTTGGCAATTGTCACATGCCTCCACATACTTCTTGGCATCCTTGTATAGAGTTGGCCAGTAAAAACCGCTCATCAACACCTTTGCTGCGGTTCTCTCTCCTGCAAAATGTCCACCATAAGCAGAACCATGACAATGCCACAATACATCCTTCTGCTCCTCCTCTGGAATACATCTTCTGATCACACCATCTGAACACCTGTAAAAGAGATATGGCTCATCCCAAATGTATCTCTTCACGTCATGTAGAAATTTCTTCCTCTGTTGCCATGTGAAATCCTTAGGCATCATCCCAGCAGCTTTGTAGTTGGCAAAATCAGCAAACCATGGTGGGGTACTGATGGTTAAAACTTTATCCCCCACCATTTCCGTAACAGCACTTATTGCCAGTATCTGTTCATCAGGGAACTCTTCTCTGATCACTACCTCTGATCCTTCTTGAAGCTCTTTCTCTGTAATCCTGGATAAGTGATCAGCCACCAAGTTCTCAACTCCCTTCTTGTCTTTGATCTCCACCTCAAACTCTTGTAATAGTAACATCCAGCGGAGTAACCTGGGCTTTGCATCCTGTTTACTTAACAAATACTTTAAAGCTGCATGGTCAGTATAAACAATAACTTTTGATCCTAGCAGATATGGCCTGAATTTGTCAAATGCATACACAATAGCCAGTAATTCCTTTTCTGTAGTAGCATAATTCTTTTGTGCACTATTTAGGATTTTACTGGCATAGTAAATGACATGCAATAATTTATTCACTCTTTGGCCTAGTACCACTCCTACAGCATAATCACTGGCATCACACATTAATTCAAATGGCAATGAAAAATCAGGTGCCATCATGATAGGTGCAGTGATCAACTTCTCTTTCAAAATATGAAATGCATGTAGACATTCATCATCAAACATAAACTCTTGGTCTTTGACCAACAACTTGCATAAAGGCTTGGCAATTTTTGAAAAATCTTTAATGAACCGCCTATAAAACCCTGCATGACCAAGAAAACTCCTCACACCTTTGACATTGACAGGTGGAGGAAGTTTCTCTATCACAGAGATTTTTGCCTTATCTACTTCTATTCCTCTCCTAGACACCTTGTGTCCAAGAACAATTCCTTCAGTCACCATGAAGTGACATTTTTCCCAGTTCAAAACCAGATTACAATGACATCTTTTTAAAACAGAATCCAAATTTTCCAGACATGCATCAAAATCAGAACCAAATACAGAAAAATCATCCATGAAGATTTCTATATATTTCTCTACCATATCAGAAAAAATGGATAGCATGCACCTTTGAAAAGTGGCAGGAGCATTGCATAAGCCGAAGGGCATCCTCCGGTATGCGAAAATTCCATATGGGCATGTAAATGTGGTCTTCTCCTGATCCTTCGGAGCCACGGCTATCTGATTGTAACCTGAATAGCCGTCCAAGAAACAATAGAAGGCATGTCCTGCCAACCTCTCCAACATCTGATCCAAGAACGGAAGGGGAAAATGGTCCTTCCTTGTTGCCTTGTTCAATCTCCGATAGTCAATGCACATCCTCCAGCCAGTGATTGTCCTTGTGGGAATCAATTCATTCTGCTCATTCTTCACCACAGTCATTCCCCCTTTCTTGGGTACTGTTTGAACAGGACTCACCCAAGCACTGTCTGAGATAGGATAAATCATCTCAGCATCAAGTAGCTTCACAACCTCCTTCCTCACTATCTCTTTCATAGTGGGGTTGAGTCTCATATGTGGTTGCCTTACTGGTTTGACTTCCTCTTCCATCAAGATTTTGTGGGTGCAGAAAGAAGGATTGATACCCTTAAGATCTGAAAATTGCCATCCCATAGCTGTTTTATTCTTCTTGAGTACCTGAATCAACTTTATTTCTTCACTCTCAGATAACATTGCATTGATGATTGCTGGATATGTTTGATCATCCCCAAGGAACACATACTTCAGATTTGAAGGTAGTTCTTTAAGCTCTACCTTAGGTGCTCCCACAGGAATGTCATCTATCTTTTTATCAAGCTCTTCCACTACCGGTTCCTCTTGATAATTTTCTGTACTTGTCTCCTCAAGAAATCTGTCTTCCTCCAATGAAAAGTCTTCTTCTCTATTCACTTCTTCCACCATCTCCTGTATGACATCAATACTGAAACAATCCTCCACATCAACAGGATGTTTGATGGCTTCAAAGACATCAATTGTAAGTATTTCTTCATCCACCCTTAGCATCAACTTCCCTTGTTCAACATCTATCAGGGATCTTGCAGTTGCTAGGAATGGTCTTCCTAGGAGTAAAGGACTTTCAGTATCATCTTCCTCCATATCAAGTATGACAAAATCCACAGGAAAAATAAACTTGTCCACCTTAACTAACATATATTCTACTAATCCTTCTGGTCTTTTGATAGATCTATCTGCTAGATGCAGAATAACATTGGTATCCTTCAACTTATCTATCCCCAATGCCCTACAGACAGACAATGACATCAAATTTATACTTGCCCCCAAATCACATAGTGCTTTACCAACTTCCACATCCCCAATTGCAATTGAAATGCTAAAGCTCCCTGGATCCTTCAACGTTGGAGGTAATTTCTTCTGAATCAGAGCACTACACTCCTCCGTCAAAGCCACCATCTCACCATCCTTTAACTTCCTCTTCTTAGATAGAAGATCCTTCATAAATTTTGCATAGTGAGGCATGTTCTCCAGGGCTTCAGCAAATGGTATGTTTATCTGCAATTTCTTGAAGATATCCAGAAATCTTGCATAGTTCAGTTTCTGAATCTCTTGCTTCAATCTCTAAGGGTAAGGAACTTTGGCATATGGAGACAAAGTAACTGGCTGGTCCTGCTTGTCAGCCATCTTCTTCTTCTCCCACTTCATTGTCTTCTTGGGCACACTATCATTTTCAACTACCACCTCTTTTTCTTCCTTATCTTCCTTCACTGTTTCTTTTTCTTTATTTTCATTCACCTTCTCTACTCCATCATCAGAGACCACATCTTCAACCACAACCTCTTCTTCATTCTTCTTATCTTCCACATTCTTTTTCACCTGTTGAAGCACCAACCTACTTCTTGTCATGATTACTTTGCAGTGCTCCTTGGGATTCATCATTGTATCACCAAGAAACTTCCTTTGTGGTCTCTCGGATATCTGTCTTGATAGTTGACCAATCTGGGTCTCCAAATTCCTGATAGATGCTTCCTGATTTCTGAATGAAGTGTTGGTCTCTTGCATGAATGCAGATATTTCCTCTCTGAATGAATTAGACCCCTGAATGTAATCTTGAGTAGTCTTGGATAACTGAGCAACGGCTTTTTCCCATGCAGCAGTATCACTTGGTTGTGATGAGTGTGTTGGAGAGGATGCAGTGGAGGATTCAACTGATGGTTGGAACTATAACTAAACCCTGGGTGCTGATTCTTGTTCTTCCATGGTGGCACATACAAATTCCGCCCCTGGTTGTTGTAATTCCTCTGGTTGTGATGGTCATAACACACTCCATTAACTTATGCATGTTCTGGTGATCCCCCATAGTCACATTCCTCTGTCACATGGTCTTTGCCACAGATAGCACACACATAATTGGTATCCACAGAAGCAACCTTTTGTGAGGATAGTTGCTTAGTGAGAGCATCCAACTGTTGTTGTTGCTGTTTCTGTGTCTGCATTAACTGGTCATTCTTTGTCAACAAAGCATCATACCCATCCAGCTTAATGATCCCTGTCTTTCTGTCAGTCACTGGGGCATTATCAAATTCCTGAGATGCCAATGATTCAAAAATATCCAAAGCCTCTTGAGGAGTCTTGGTGGTCAATGAAGCACCAGCAGTGGCATTCACCAATGTTCTGGTGTTGGTTGTCAACCCTTGGAGGAATATTGTTGCTTGATTCCACACTTCTATTCCATGCTGTGGACATTTACTCAATAAAGTCTTGAATCTCTCCCAAGCCTCATAAATGGATTCTAATTCTTTTTGCTTGAAGCCTGTGATCTCATCCTTCAACTTTTCCTTCTTGGATGCTGAAAAGAATCTGGCCAAGAACTTGGTTTGCAGATCATTCCAAGTTGTTATACTCCCCTGAGGCAATGACTGCAACCATCTCCTTGCATCATCCTTCAGTGAATGAGTGAATAGTCTCAGCAGAATTGCATCCCTTGTGACATCATTAATTTTCACAGTATCACTCAACAACAAAAAATTTTCTATATGCAAGTAAGGGTCCTCTGCACTGGTTCCAGCAAACTGCTCCTTCTGCACCAACTGTACCAATGCAGGCTTCAATTAGAAGTTATCTGGCTCTACTGTAGGGCGCACAATACTACCAATCGGAGGAATCACTGCAGGAGTCATGTAATCTCCCAGTGTCCTCTGTTCTGGTGGTGGTCTGTGGTTCTCTGCCATTATTTCTTCTTGGTTGACAGCACTGGATTCACCCCTTTCTTGAAACTGTCTTCTTTGTCTTGTTGCCCTTCTTTTCTTCCTCAAAGTCTTTTCTAATTCTGGATCATAAAACAAGAAGTTTGGATCAATAGTACCTCGCATACACCAGAATCAAAATTGACCAGAAATTTAACACAAAATAAAAGGATTCAATCTCAGATTTCTATGGTATCAATCAATGTTGAAAAACAAATCTCGGCAATAACGCCAAAAACTTGTTGCAGATCTAGCAAGTGTACTAGTCGTACAAGTAATAAAATGATGAGTAAAGATTGTTCCCACAGAGATTTGTATTCAAACACCAATTAACCATATAAAACTAATTTGAATCAAACAAAAGTTTGTAAAAATCATGAATGTTTTGTCACCAGAAAATTGATTTGAAGTAACAGAATATAATGCTAAAATCTGAATCAAGATTTAGTAAAAACAAGTAGTCAGAAAACAACTTCCCTCAACAATAAACTCATGGAAAAACTGACCATATGATGAATTCTTTTTCATGTGATGTTAATCAACCTTTTACTTATCATCAAGATGTAATCCCTTACTACCCTGATAGATACATTAATCAGAAACCCCAATCCCTTGGTGATTCCTTTCTTAATTCATACATTAAATACTAAAGTCTTAAGATTACATCAGAACTCTAGCATAAATCCCTTGAGTACTAGAACCCTGATGATAAGATTGCCAAATATAGGAGTAGAAAAAATTGAATAAGAAAATCTCATATCAACACATGAAAAATACTTCATCATATTAATCAAACATACATAAGATTATCATTAAGTTCCATTGAATTCAGACCACAATGACTCTATTCAGACATAACTAAAGAATACACAAGAGAAGAAAGATCACACTGCATTGCCATGCAGTGAATCTTCAATCTCCAAGTACAATTACATAAGAAACAAACTACTACAAGAACTAAGTCCTAAAGAAATTTAGAGAGAAGTCAGATAAGAGAATCTGATGTAAGAGAGAGAGAGAATCCAGATTTTTGAAAAAAGTGAAGGCCCTTGCCTTATATAGTTTTACAAATTCAAACAGAAAAACTAACATGGGCGCTAAAACGTTCAGGAGTGAGCGTTTTAGCGTCCATGCTTGACGGATGCCCAACTGCTTCAAACTGACTCCAGCGCTAAAACACTTGGTTTGGACGTTTTAGCGTTGGAGACCAGAGTCTTTTTCCAACAGCAGGGCGCTAAAACGCTCGATCAGGAAGTTTTAGCGCCCAAGACCAGCAACTTTTTGTCCTCGGATTGCAGCAGCGCGCTAAAACGTTCTGTGTGGACGTTTTAGCGCTCAACACCAGCAAGTTTTGGTTTCTTTCTGCAGTAAGGCGCTAAAACGTTCTGGATAAAAATTTTAGCGCTCAACACTTAGAATTTTTCTCTTCTTCATAATCTTCTTCCTTCTCCCAACTTCCTTTTAAGCTTGCTTTTCCTACAAGAATAATACAAATTTTCAATAAAACTTCTTGAACTTGTAGTTGAGGACATTCTAGGACATTAACCTCTTTTTCCATCATTTAATCACACAAATTGATACTAATTCATGCCTGAAAAACCTGATGAACTAAGGGTTTATCATGGACTACAGTGATACCTCCCTTTTTCGGAACAGTTTGCACCGGGCTCACCCAAGCAGTATCCGAAATCGGGTAAATCATACCAGCATCAAGAAGTTTCACAACTTCTTTCCTCACAACTTCCTTCATTGTTGGATTAAGCTTCCTTTGAGGCTGCCTTACTGGTCGAACTTCATCCTCCATGAGGATTTTATGAGTACATAATGAGGGATTAATACCCTTCAAATCAGAAATTGACCACCCTATAGCAGTCTTGTGTTCTTTCAGCACTGTAGTCAATCTTGTTTCTTGCTCAGAAGACAATCCCTTGTTAATGATAACAGGGTAAGTCTCCTCTTCACCCAAGAAGATATATTTGAGAGTTTCTGGAAGTTCCTTCAACTCCACCTTTGGTGCACCATCTTCCTTGTCAGAATCTTTCTTTTCGAGAACTTCAAATACCTCATTTTTTTCTTCCTTAATAGGAACTATTTCATGTACTACAAGTTCTTCATCAGATTGTTGACTAGAAGATATCTCTTCTTCCACCACTTGCTCTAGAATATCAAGTCGAAAGCAATCGCCTTTGTCAGAAGATTGTTTCATGGAGTCAAAGACGTTGATGGTGATAGTTTCATCGTTCATCCTCAACTCAAGCTTGCCATTTTCAACATCGATCATGGCTCAAGCAGTGGCCAAGAAAGGTCTACCCAATAACAAAGGCATCTCAGTACCCTCTTCCAAGTCTAATACCACAAAATCAGATGGGAAGATGAATTTATCCACTTTAACAAGCACATGTTCAATAATACCACTTGGTCTCCTCAAAGATCTATCAGCCAGTTGAAGAGAAACCATAGTTGGTTTTAACTCAGTAATTCCCAGATATTTACACACAGATAACGATATCAGATTAATAATTTCCCCAAGATCACATAATGCTCTGCCAACTTCAGTATTACCAATAACAATTTGAATGTTGAAGCTCCCTGGATCACTAAGTTTGGGTGGAAACTTCTTCCGTATGATGGCACTGCACTCCTCAGTGAGTGTTACTGTTTGGCATTCCTGCAGCTTATGTTTTCTTGACAACAAGTCCTTCATGAACTTGGCATAGTTGGGCATGTTAGCCAAAGCTTCAGCAAAAGGTATGTTCACATGCAACTTCTTGAAGATATCAAGAAATCTTACATATTGCTGCTTCTGAGCATATTTCTTGAATCGTTCTGGGTAAGGTGCCATAGCTCTCACATATTCAGGATTCAGCTTAAATTTCTTCTTTTCAACAATAATTGGTGGCTCCTCTTCTTCACTTTTCTGAACAGGTTTCTCAACTTCAGAAAGAATTACCACTTCTTTTTCTGGCTCCTTAAACTTTTCATCAGCTTCCACATTTGTGTTTGACTTTGTTGGAGCTGCTACCACTTTACCACTTCTAGTAGTGATATCCATACAATCCTCCTTCGAATTAGTAACTGTATTGTTAGGAAAGGTTCCTGGAGCTCTTTCAGCCATTTGTTTAGCTATCTGGCCAATTTGATTCTCCAAATTTCTGATAGAAGCTTGTGTATTCCTGGTGTTTGCCCGAGTCTCTTCCATGAAAGAATTAGAATGTTGGGCCATCTGTCCCACTAGCTTCTCTAAATTAGAAGGTTCCTTAGGCTGAACCGGTGGTGGTTGTAAATAATTATTGGACTTGAAATCAAGACCAGTACCTTGCACCCTCATTTGGAAGTTATTGTTTCCAGAAGGAAAATTCTGATTCTTTGGAACATTTTGTGGTGGGGGTCTCTGATCATACCACACGCCATTTACATGCACTTGTTGGGGAGGATCGACAGATAACAAGGAAGGACATTCATTAGATTCATGATTGTCCTTGCAGTACTCACAAACAACTGAAGCAGCTTGAGCTTGGACACTAGAGAGCTGCATCTTATCAAGCCTCGATGTCAAATTTGCCATTTGCTGTGATAACAATTTATTTTCAGCCAATACTGCATCATTGTTGTCTAAGTGAAGAATACCTCTCTTAGGCTTGGCTGTCAACCCTTCATTTTCATTGGCAGCCATTCTTTCAATCAACTCAAGAGTCTCATTTGCTCTCATTGATTTAATACTTCCACCTGCTGCACCATTCAGCACCATCCGGATTTCAGGTTTGCATCCGTTGAAGAAGATTCGGACCTGATCACCATTGGTCATGGGATAATGAGGACATCTCCTCATTAGATCTTTAAATCGGTTCCATGCTGCACACATAGTTTCACCCTCAGCTTGAGTGAAATTGGTGATGTCATTCACCATCTGATTGTATCTTTCCATCGAGAAGAACTCAAAAAAGAACTTGTTTGATAAATTTTCCCACGAGGGAATACTTCTCGCAGGCTGCCTTTCCAACCAGTTCAAAGCCTTTCCTTTAAGAGCAAAAGGAAACATTCTCAGTCGGATCGCGTCATTGGAAACCTGAAGATGTTTAGTCGAGTCACAGATCATCAGAAATCTGTCTATGAACCGATGAGGGTCTTCATCATCCTCTCTACCAAACTGAGCTCTCTCAACCAATTGAATATTAACAGACTTGAGCTCCCAATTATTGTTGCCAACTTCAGGATGAATAATACTCGAATTGGGACTGTTGAATGATGGAGCCAGAATGGTATCCATGAGTGGATTGTCTGCTTCATTATTTCCTGCCATGATGTGTGCTTCTTCAGACAGAATTCCTAACTCGTTGAATGAAAGCTTCTTCCGAGCAAGTTTTCTGTTTCTCTTTTCTGTTTTTGTAATCTCCAAGTCAAGTGGAAATTCTAGTAATTTACCTCGCATACAACTCAGAAAAGAGATTAGTAGCACTGTTCAAAAACCACAGAGAAAACAAAGTTAAAATAAAAATAAAATCCAATCTTAAAAATCAAAATTAATTGATATAAGAAACGTCAATCCCCGGCAACAGCGCCAAAAATTTGATGCTTCTCGGCAAGTATACCGATCGCACAAGTAATATAATGATAAGAAAAGTTCGTCTCCACAGGAATTGTGATCGTATATCAAATAATCGTCCTTTCAAGAATGGAGGAGTTCAAATAGTTTGTGACAAATATTGTTGATTTGGGTAAAAGTGAGAGCTGAAAATAAAGACTTGTTTTTGGCTTTTTGTTATAAGAAATAGAACAATAAAAATGAGAATTGATTTGTAAAAATATGAGAGGAGGCATTGTAGCTAGAATGCACTCACCATATGATCCTCACTTCTTACTTTGGATTGATTTAAAAATACTTATTTATATAAATGCTCAGATAATTATCATCTAGAATTAATTAGTTAAATTCAAATCCCTTGTCAACTTAACCCTTTAACCTCAATTGGAATCCTAATCCCTTAGTAACTCCTCATGAAAATTAAGCAATGAACACGATAATTAAAGCATCTGCAATTAACATACGTCTATTCCTAGTACGCATATGAATTGTTATTTTACTCCCTTTCAAGATTAAAACCCTCAATATTCCTATCTAGGATTCGAATCCTTAAACTATTATCAACTATTAGATTGATCAAGTCTAACAAAGAGAATAGAAATTACACATAGAGTAAGATAAATAAATTTATATAAACGAGTATAATTAAACCAATTCGTCGTAACAAGGGTTCACATAAGGTTTGTGACCCTAACTATAATAAAAAACTTTAGCCAACCATTATCATGGCTGATAAATTCAATATTCAATGTTACTTGAGAATGTAGATGGAAGAATAAAGAAGATCAAGAATTTCTCTCCGGAGCTCTCCTTCTGAAGCACAACGGTCTCCTTAGGTCTAGAATCCCTAATTCTGTGCTGAGCGTCCTTTTTATAATCCTTTTTCTTCATCTTCCAAAAATGCCCTTATGAAACACGGGCTGTGATTTCGAAATCTGATGCTCTTAGTGTCAGTTTCACGCTAAGAGCGTGGCTGACTCTGAACCTTGACGCCACTAGCGTGAGTTCCACGCTATCAGCGTGGGAGCAAGAATGGTTTCACACCATCAGCGTGAGTTCAACGCTATAAGCGTGGGAATCTCTGATGTTTCACGCCATCAGTGTGAATTCCACGCTATAGGCGTGGACTTTTACTTTAACATTTCTCCATTTTGCTTCCAGATCATCTGATTTTCCTAAAAAATCAGCATAAAATCAGTTGAACAATCCTGGATTTGGAATTTCAGCAAAGCAACAACAAACATTGCATTTTTACTCAGGATTAACCATTAATCATCCTCTTTTTGGCTTGAATTTACCCATATGCTGAAGGCATATCATTCACCCAGCCTTTTCTGCGGGAAATGTAAACTTGGAAAAAGTAGAAAAATAATTTGACCAGGTAAGGCAACGCCAAATAGATGAAAACATGCTCAAAAGCCAGATAAATGCCCAAGTGTTGGAATGTAGCTAGGTAAGGGTGACTCTGAGATAAGCCAACACACCCATCTGGAAGTCGGTGAAGGGAAGTCGGAGCCCGATCTTAGTGATCAGATCCCGATACATAAAGAAAAGGAATGGCTCATCCATACCCTGCCCTGCCCTAAACAAATAGGCTCATCATCTATGAGGGCAAGAGGTCAACCCTGTTGGTGTTGAGAACCACGAGCCCGGATTGGACCTCCTAATTCACCTAAGGTAACTGCACAAACAGGGCGGCTGCTGTAGGCTCCATAGACATCCTAGAACAAGGAGATCCGAGGTAAAATAAAGAGTAGATAAATTCAAGCCAAAAGAACTGTTGCAAGACAAACTAGAAGGCTAAACAAGAATTTTGATGGGGAGAGATGCATCCACCACATGACCTAGACTTGGCACTGAAGAAACCATTCTATGAGTACATTCAGTAAGAGTCACTTGAGCGTAGGTATAAAAGTCATGCTCGACTAACTTGGCGCTAAGAAAAGCGCAATGTTTGTAGACTCTAGACCCGATCAAAGTGTCTTATTTGACAGATCAGAGTAGTGACATAAACAAGCTATTCATTATGGGATGACCTGAAGACAAACTGGCCTTTGCCTAAGGACAACCAGATGTGACACTGGCCTAGGGACGAGCCACTCGAGAGATGGAGCCACACCTAGGTTGCGGAGAAATTGACATATTGGCTTTCCCCACCAAAGAGGGATGCTGACCTCAGCTAGATGTCGACGTATAATCGGAGCTTGGCTAGATCGTTGAGGTGCGAACCTCTTTCTATTTTCACCGCTGCCATACCCATGAAGCAGCATCTCTTGCTTCTCTTCCTCAAAATGATCTTCCCCAAAGATCTAGTACTTGACCTTGGAGGGAAAGTCGGATATAAGTGCAACCTCTTCCACATTGGCATCTTCACAACCACCTTGCATGGGTGAACCTCTCCCATGCCCATTAATTCTTAGAAACGCTTAAATGTTTGAAAGAATTTTGCAGAGAAGGATATCATGAAAACTACCCAACAAAACAAAAAAAGCCCCAATGGTTTCTAGAAAACAGTAAAGAAAGTTGCAAAGAAATACCAGGAAATCAAACCAAATACAAAAGGAAAAGGAAAGGAGAAAGTGCCTGGACGAAGTAACTATTTACATGAAGAGTATGTGGAACTTCTGGCGGATGGAATGTCAGAAACCCAATAGACACTCAAAGCCTTTTCGCTAGAAAAATCAATGCCCAGAGTGTGAAGAGCGAACCTAAGAAGCCTCAAAGAAAACGAAGAACCTAGGAGGCACTCTCAAGGAACACAGAGGAAATACCCAAATACAAAAGAGCAGAAAAGAATTTGATAAATGACAGATGAAGCACCAAACTGTAAAGTGAACAAATGGTCCACCATCAATTTTGATTCTTCATGTTCTATATATGCTTGTAGAATATTTTCTTTGACATCCAAACACTTAACTATAACGAGAATCACTTTTTTTTTCGGCAAAAAGTAACTTATCGAAACAAGCTCTAAAATCCATAAAACATATAAAAGATTTGTACTATCATAATCGTATTACATCATAATGATTCTGAAAAATAATCAAGAATCTCGATCTTACTATTTTAATATACGTATATCCCAACATTTTTAAATAAAAGTTTCAATTCGCTTGTACTATGGACCCGACCTATGGGCCCATACTCCAAGAGCCCAATAAGGGTAAGTGACTAAGAGGGAAATAAGGAAAGAATCTCAAAAAAATATCAATCTCATAATATCCTCAGTGGGTTAAGCATTGAGCCCCCATTATTTCTAAGAGATCAAGAATTCCCTTACCGCCAGGTAACTCTCTATAAATAAGAGATTAAATCTACAAGTATGCATTTTTAAACCCTCTCTCTTAGTTATCACTGTGCACACACCTCGCGTTCTGGTTGTGTCGTTATTCATTGTGCACAATGATTTTCTTCTTCTTGAGGTATCTCGTATGTAGATATTTGAGAGCACCAACATCCAACATTAACATATCAATTTTAAATTGAACATCACCGATCCACCAGGATCGAATAACTTATATAATTATAAAAAAAATTCTCTTCTCAAAATATATTTTTCATGGTGTTAGAGAAAGGGAGTCCACAGCAAGCAGAACCTGTAGACCAAGAGTCCCTTCTTCGAAGCTAAGAGACTTCTATTATTAGAAGATATGCTATTAACGGATATAGGAGAGGATGTGTTGTAAATAGGCATAGGAGAATATGACATTTGTATTACACGTGGCATATAGGAATAGTGAAGGGTACATGTGTTGAATAAATACCAGAATTGTAAACTGATTCATTCATTCAATAAAAATATAGTTTCCTTGTTCGTATTCATTCCCAAAGTTCGCTCTCTCTGAGTTAGGGAGATCTAACACTGGTGCTTTCATTCTGTGAGCTCTTAATCATGAAGATTCAAGAACTGGCTGAGGAAGTATCATCCTTACAACATCGATTTGATGAATCTCAAAGTCAAATCGCATTGGTGATTGCGCAGATGCAACAATTGAATGAATCAATTAGAGCATTACATGCGAAGGAGAAGACATCATCGAACACGTCTCACTCGGAGACCATACACTCTGCGACAGGGAAGGCTCATGCATCCGGTTCCTCCGACGGAGTGGGAGTTATGGATCCACGTTCGTTGTTAAAGTTTGTGCGCATGGAAATTCCTTTGTTCGATGGCACGAACCCAGACAATTGGATCTTTAAGACTGAGATTTTCTTTGAATTGTAACGAGTACCGCCAGAGTTGCAGGTTCAATTGGCAGGTTTGAGGATGGAGGGCTTTGCATCTTCTTGGTTTCAATGGAAGTACAAAGGTGGTTCCATTAGGTTATGGTCCGAATTTACCGTCGAGCTGCGACAACGGTTTGGGGTAGCTCCACAGAACAATCTGACAGGCGCTTTGTCCAAATTAACTCAGCATGGGTCCATGAAGGATTATTTGTATGAGTTTGAGAAATTGATGAATCAAACTTCAGGTTTGAGTGATGGATTGTTATTATGTTTCTTTGTGTCTGGATTGACGACTGAAGTAAGAAGAGCAATCGAGATCCACGAACCCAAATCACTACAGCAGGCCATGCAATTGGCGACAGTATATGATTCTCACTTCTCGGAATTACGCGTTTCTTTGAATTCTGGTGTTAGGAAATTTCAAAATCGTTGGTCTCAAACCAATGAAAGCAGTGGAGGACAGGTTGCAGCAAGTTTGACACCAACAATTCCGGTTACTGCTCCTACTTTGGGAGGTAAGAGTGCTATGTCTAACATACCAATTAAGAAGTTGTCGAATGAGGAGTTGGCAAAAAAGAGGGAATTGGGTATCTGTTACACCTGCGATGAAAAGTGGACTT